TACTTGGCTTGGGCTGCCGCAACACAGCACCGCAAACAGGGCCAATTAAAACAAAAGGAATGTATTAGCGCTCAGCCTGGAGGCGGAAGTCCGAGGTCATGGTGTCCGCAGACTGCTTCTCTCCGAGGAGGGTCTGCTCCAGGCCTCTCCGCCGGCTCCTGGTGCTTCCCGAAGATCCTGCAGATCCTTGTGGAAGCATCAGCTGTCTCTGCCTCTATCTACAGCTGGCGTTCTCCCTGTGTGCAACTGTGTCCAAACTTCCTCTTTCTGTGAGGACCCCACGGGTAACGGATTAGGGTTTATAAGGACACCCCATCACAATGGACTGATGGATGACCTCAACTTGACCATCTGCTGACACCCGATTCCAAATAAGGTCACCTTCCCAAGTCCTGGGGGTGAGCACTTCCACACCTACACGGGGACACAATTCAGCTGCCCACAACCGCAGGCTGGAACACAGGTCTCCCGTCTCCCAGGGGATCTGTTTCCATTCCCCAGAGGACAGCTTCCAAGAGGCTACAGGTTTGCAAGTTATTTCACGATAAGAACTGACGATGACTGCAGTTTCACTTTCGATACTCTTCGGTTTCTCCAGATTCTCTCCTCTTGAAACGCCGAGATGCCCAGAGCCCCGCAGATCCCTGGGGCTGATGAGGAGCCGGGTGTGGGGGGGCACCCCACAGCCCGGAGGAGTGAGCGGTGTGGTGGCACTCACGCTCTCTGCAGCGTCACCAGAGATGGTCGCGAGGCCAGCCGTGGAGGGGACCCTGGAGGAAGCTCCCGGTGACATGTAGGTGGAAGGTCTGGGACAATGGCAAAAATCAGTGCCAGGATTTGGCCCCAGCTGTGCCCGGGAGGTGATGGCTGAGGGCAGGGGAGATCTCGGCGTTGGCAGCCGTGGCGCGGGCAGACCTCCCGCGTTTGCTGTACTGAGGTCACTTCCATCCTCTCTCGCTTCGTCTTCTCTGAGACTCACAGGTTGTTCTGAAAAACTGCCCGACGCTCTGACGCTTATCTAAACTGAGCGATGATGATACGGGACACCCGCGGCGCATGGGGCACTCGTTGAATCTGCTCGGGAGTGAAGCTGGCTCAGGATCCGACTCATTCATGGGGTCGCCTTCTCCAGGCTCCGCCTTTTGAAATCCCGGCAATTTTATCACATTTCCCCTCGCATCAGACCATTAACAAAGGGTAAAATCTCGTCTGAAGTGAGCTGGGTTAGAAACAGACCCTGCAGTCGTTACTGTGAGGCTTGGGGCCCTCGTGAGGGAAGAAGATGACGCTGGGAATATACAAAGGAAAGAAAGAAGAGATGGGAAACTCTCTTCTAAAAAGGTGAACGTGTCCCATGTTTTGTAGGGGCCTTAGTTGTAGGTTTCCTGGTGGTAACTGGACTCCTTCTCAACTGAGGCCCCGGAGGGGCTGGCCGTGGGGAGTGAGGCTTGCTGACGGGCACCTCCACCCTGTGCCCAGTTTTCCTTTCATGCATCTTCCTTAGTCTGCAGCCAGGATTCTCTGAGCAATAAACAGCTCTAATTGTTTGATCTGGCAAATACCTCTATAGCACTCCCTGTGTGCAAGGCGCTTCCTAAGGAATCTGTAGATATGAATCCATCTAATTCATTTGGGCTCCACAAGGACCCTGTGAGGGAGGCACCTTACAAACGTGCGGGATTCCTGGGCCTGCTTCCAGGGGCGCTCGCCTGACCTTGCACAGGGCCCTGGGCCTGGGAGCCCGCAGCCCAGGAGGTGCCACGCGGCCAGAGAGGGGCCTCCCTTGCCCCCCCAGAGCGGGTCGGGAGCTAATGTCAGAGATGCGGGGGTGATGGCTCCGCAGACCGAGCCGGGCCAGCCCTGGTCACCGGCCAACGTGCTGACTCGGGGCGTCCGGTTAAATCTGCCAAACACGCAGCTCAGGGAAAGTGAGCTGCAACTGGTGGAATCAAGGAAAGTTTAGAAAGTACTTCTCACCACTCCTTCTCCTCCCTGTTGTCGCCAGAGCTGGCGACTGGGGAGCCCATCCTGCCTCGCTTGTCTGTAAGACTCAGGGCTGAACGAGCGCCCATTTCCACGACACGCAGACACTGAGCTCAGCTCGGGAGCCAAGGGGACCTTAGTGGGTCTGATGAGGTCCCGGCCACACTTCCAGGACTGAAGACATGGAAACGCCTCCTTAAAGGACGGGTCCCAAGACGGCGAGGGGCAGGTTGGGACACGCCCAGCACATGGGCAGTCACATTATTTTCACCGTTAACACTCCTTCTCATTGTCACTCCTAGGCGCTCACGCTACAGACACTCTACGTGCGAACCGCCCTCGGAGGATGTTCGCTGCGGCGTTGTCTGTAAAAACTGGAAATGACTCATTGCAAAAAAAAGCTGGAAGTAACTCAAATGTCCCTCAGCGACACACCGGTTAAAAAATAAACGACAAACCCATGGGTAAGAGGAAACACGTGCATCTTCTGAAAAGAGCAAAGTGGATCCACTTGTGCTGACGGAGAAAGCCATGATTTGTTAAGCGAAAAATCAAGTTGGGAAACTGGATAAAGAATGTGATGCCATTTTTGTTAAAAAAAGGATAAGACAGGGTAATAAGCAAATAGGAAAAAAAGGCCAAAGGCATTTGCGTGAGGCTGTCAACAGCCACGATCCTAGGATACGAGCGGGCAGTGAGCAACCGCATGCAGGGGGAACACTGCTTCTGGAGCACTTAATTCGACGACCTACCCGAGGGATCTTATCCACATCTTCCTCTGTTTGTAAAAGACGTGACGGGGTGTTCGCTTCAGAGAGCAAACTCGATGTGTAGGAGAGACAAGTGCCCGAAGGGAAAATCAGGGGTGAAGGGGGGAAAAGACTTGGAGTTTAGAGCTCTGTTCACCACGTAGGACCGTAGCTCATGACACAAGTTACAAACAACGGGAAACAGCCTGCTGGTGTCTTAACTTGCGCGTCTTACTCGACGTGACCTTTCTTTACTCTCCTCAATTTATTTCAATGACAGAAATAATTAATGAAGAAGAATCTTCTTCCCCGCAGCCCCTGCTCCTCCCTCCCTCCCTTCCTTCCTCTTTCCTTCCTTCTTCTCTCCTCCTTCGCTTCTGTGTTTCTTTCTAAGATAGAGCCTCCTATGCCTGGTGGCCCCTGTCAATTCGAAAATGACAGCAAACAAGGAAATGGAAATAAACTCTGCGCTGAAGGACGCCCTCCCTGTGATGGACTCTGGGATCACGTGTGGCCCATGGGGTGGTGTAGACATTGCATTTGAGATTAACCAGAGTGAGCCCCGGCCTTGGCCGCAGCGGCTCGCCGGGCGCAGCCACCTGCTCGCGCCGGTCCCAACGCAGAGGCTGCCACGGCGGAGACAGACGGCAGGAGGCCTCGGCTTGGGGGCTGACACTGACCTGGGGCTGCTGGCAGGGGCTGGGTCTCCCGCTGGGTGCTGTGACCACCCACCGCAAGCCTTTCCTGAGACGGCCCCTCCTCTGCTCCGAGGGTGACGGCCCAGCTCTTCACTGCCCCGCCAGTGAGGGGTCTCTGGGCGAGCGCTTTCCTTGGCTGTGGGGAGGAAAGTCCACCCTCCGTGGATGTGGAGGCTGGAAGGGACCAGCCCAGCAGCTGGTCCACGACGGGGGCACCTCGACCAGAGGCTCTGACCGCAAGACATTTCTCTCCTCTGAGCTCCGCGCTGCTTCCCAGGGGATAGGCCACAGCCTAAGGCACTGGTTTAAAACTGGAACCAGATGCTGTAATCTAGGAATATTTTCCCTATATTTTGTTTACATGGAAGTTTAAGAGAAATCCACAAGAAAGAAAGTGAAAAACACAAATAAACCCGTCCTGAGCCTTAAGAAGCAGCGTGCGGCAAGCAGGTAGATGCTTCAAAGCACCCCAAGGGTGTTATTCCTGTGCAAGGGACAGGAGCAGAAGCAGCATTTCCTACAAAGCACGCTTCTTGGGACACCAGGTGATGATTCCGGAAGAAATAAACCTGAGTGTGAGCTTGTCACCCCTGGGTAGGGATCTGGATGGTGCCGCCTCGGAACATTATACTACAATCAAATGTAGCAAATTCTATAACCAGCAATTTCAAATTGTGCATTCCAAATTGATATATTCTACACAAATAAAAGGATCTGATTTTGGGCTTTGAAATCAGCCGCCTGCCTTCTGTTTGCCGTACAATGCCATCTGACTTCTTAAAAAGCTCAGTGCCTTTTTTCCCTCCTGCACCTGCTTAGCTGCAAAAGTGTCAGCATCTCCTCTCAGACGGTTCTGTGTGATGCGGGAGCTGCGATCACCTGACAGCAGCAGGGGAAGCGAGGTGCCCACGGGCCCTGCAGCGCCAGAGGTCATGGGGCCCAATGGCCCCGGGGCCTCGGCACCGCCACGCTCCCCTGACCCACCTGGGAGCCCAAGGCCAGGGATGTTGAGAGCAGAAGCTGCAGGTAGAGCAGCTATTCCTGACTGACAGGAGGGCCTGGATCCCTCCCAGGACCTAGCGTTCCTCCTGTTTGTGCAAAGATTCCTCAGGAGGAATTCGCATTTGAAGTCAGCATCACAGAGTGGGGAGTAGATTACTCACGTGATCAGACCGTATCGTGAAGTACCAGTCAGATCACCAGTCTGTGTGACCTCAGGAAAGTTGCTTGAGTTCTCTGACCCTCCATTCCCCCAACATGGGTTGTTCACAGCACTTCCTTCCTAGGGTTGTGAAGACTGTACCATGAAATACATGTCCAGTTGAGGCAGGAGATAGATAGGCCCCAGGCCGAGCAGCTGCAACGGGTCTCCTGCTGACACTTTGAGATAAGGTACCAGCAGGAGCACTGGGCTCTGATTAGGTGAAAGACAAAGTGACCGCGACTTCCTCATTCCTGTGGTCTCGGGGATTCCCCGCCTGACGCATGCGTGGAAGAGGCCCTTAGTCTAGGGGAGGGACCAAAGGAGGGAGGAGACGTCAGCCCATAATATGTCCTGCCGGCCTCCCAGACACCTTCGCACTGGAAGGACCCTGAGTCAGACCAGATATGGGCACAAGCGAGATGAGTGGCCAGAGACAACCTGGAAAGCTGGCCCCATGTAAGCAACCTAAGCCGCCCCTAGTGCGTGCAGCTCACGCCGCGTACGTGTTCTCCCACACGTGCTTCACGTCTAATAAACGCTGTCTCTATTTCACAGTCTCGGTCTTTCTACTGAATTCCTTCTCCAAAGAAGACAAGGACCGGGGTCCTTCTTCCAGCCACTCCACCGCCAGAACCAGAGTACTCGGAACAGTGCCCGGCACAAAGGTGAGCTGCTGCCGCTAGGACCACTGTCCCCCGTTATCATCACAGGCACCTTTCCTTAAGAGATTATATGTTTTAGAGACCTCAGCCTTAGTCCAAATCCTTCTTTATCTCCTGTCTCCGTGAAAATTGATTTACTAAATATTTTAATCTGCAGTGTCTAGTACATGCTGGGTGCTCAGAAATATTTGTTAAATGCTGAATGAACGCGCAAGCATGAGTGCCTGAAAAGACAGTAAAAATAAAGATTACATTCTCGAAGGACAAGGTTGTGCACTTCAGCGACCTAGGGAGGCCTAAGCGACAGCTGTTTTGATGGGAAGTGATAGCTCTCGGGTCTCCCCACCGTTCTCCGGGGCGGGAACAGCCCTGCCGAGTGAACTGCAGGGGATGGACTGGAGCCATGGAGGCCTGGTGACACCGCAGACCCCGGGTCCACCTCACGCCAGAGGTGTGAGCACGTCTGCAGGGGTAATCGTGGAAATGGGACACTGACATTTCAATGTTAGTAAGGGAGCAGTGATTTGTGATTTTAGTAGCAGTATCACAAATCACTTGCTTCCAAAATAACATTTTTGAATGCTTTCTCTGCCCCTTTCCAAAAATGTAGAAAATATAAGGCAGTACTTATGATACCCTAGTAGGGGGTCACATCTGTCTCCTGCTGCCCCCACTTCCAGAAATACTGCTTATTTTTATGGTTACACCTTTTTGCTTATTTGAATTCCGGCAGAGTGCCTTTGAGTTCCAGAGAACCTTGCCTGCCTGAGCTAAAGTACAGAGCTATTCGATGACTTCTATTCCGGAATGAAGTGTGAGCAAGGTATAACTATTTCCTCTCCTGTAGCTGTGATAGTTACATACAAGGATTTATGTTTAAAAATATTATCCCCCAAGGGTAAATCTTTGCCACGGGGGAGAGTTTCCGTGCCTGGAGTGGGTCGTGGAAATCTTCAATGTGTGCGTTCGTGAGGAAAGGTCGTATCTGACTTTAAAAGTCTTTCCTGTGTCACAGGCCCTGAGTCAATATGCGGTGGGTGGGATCAACTGAATTGATCCCATGTCCAGGGATCCCTGTCAGCTGTTTTGTAAATCAGCTTCTGGGGAGGAAGGCGGGCTTACAGAGATGCCTTCTCCTTCCCTTCCCCATGAGTGGTGGCCACGCTGCTCTTTCTAGATTAGAAGCTGCCACTGGGGGGCAGTGAAAATGGAAAGGGGGCACCCCAACCCTGGCAGCAGTAGCATGGCCGCTACATGGGGAGTTCAGACCCAGATCGTCGTGCTGCTCCGAGGCCAGCGGGGCGCTGTCTGGGGGCCGCTACAGTGTGTCCGTAAGATTCCGGGAGAGCAGGCGCCATCCAGGTCCACAGAGCAGCTTCGCCAGGCGCGTGTTAGAAACGCACATTCTTGGGCCATACCCCCGACCCACTGAATCAGAGACTATGGTGGTCCAGCCCGGCTGCCGTGTTTCAACGAGCCCTGCAGGGAAATCGCATGCACGCTCAGGTGTGCGCACTTTCATTCATCTCCTTTCAGTGAGGAAAGCTTTCGTTTTGTTTCATTTAAATATATGTGGAGGGGAGGGGCTGGGGTCGCCGGGGGAAGGTCCCCCCGACCCTCACTCCGGTGAAGCCTGCTCTGGGCTGCCGGCTGGGTCTGCCTGTCTTCTCTCAGCCGTGCCTCTACCTGCCTTCCTCTGTGGGGGGGGGGGGGGGCACATGCAAGACACAGGTGGTTCTGGTTTTTCCTGATCTTTCTATGCAACCCACAGGGGAGGACTCAAATCTTTAGCATCAAGATGTCAAGGGAAGCCAAGATCCGCCCAGAAGGCTTTTATGGCATATGTTCGGCTGCCGAAGTGTCACACAAGGCTACATGTTCACGAGAGGAAGATACGATTAGTCATTCAAGGCCAAATGTGCGGCTAAGGCTCCCCCTTCTAGCTCATCTGAAAGTGTCCCCAGGCTTGCCAGAGAAGGTGGGTTGCTATGGTGATGTAGGAGCTGAGACAGAATTTGGAAAAGGATTATAAAATGTTCCAAGAGAAGAAAGGCTTCTTACTATTTAAAAACACTCGGTCTGAGAATAGGCAGGTGTCTTTCGCTGCCTGTTTCCCATAACGTCGCTGTCCTCGTGACACAAATCAAAATTTCCTAATTTTTAAGACAAAGCAGTATCTTATTTTACAACGTAACTCAGGACCCCAAAAGATCAAAACCACAGAAACAAAGATCTTTCTCCTAGCACATCCCTCACTGTGAGCTAACTCCTGACACAATTTCACTGTCTGCACATGTATTTGAGAAACTGATTTAACGGATGCGATTTGCTGACTGCTGTTGCAGACGCCCAAGGTCTGGGCTGCTCTGGGCCTCATGCGTCACAGAGGATAGTAGGATCGCAGTGTTTCCAAGGACTGTCACTCAATAAGCATGAAATTACGTTTAATCACAAATATAATGTAAATGAATGTAATCAGGTAATTAGAATGTGTAAGTGGCGTGATATTTGCAACACGGAGCAGTGCGCTTATAATGTTGTGTAAAATTATGTTAAAAATCCTTATTGAACTTTGTTATAAAAAGGCAGTGTTCAGAGAAAGCAGATGATTTTAAAGTTCAACATCTTGATCGCTTCAACATTTCATTTATGAAATGCTGTGTTTAGCCAATACTTTTAACAATTTGCTAAGTATATTTTGTAAAAATCAAACAATTTCATAGTTAGTGGAGTGCTAAAAAGCCCTGGGATCCGTTCTCCTGGCTGCATACAGCTCGAACAGCTGAAACCATTTTAAGAAGATGCTTCATTATAAATCATTGAAAATAGGAATTCACAACAGAAATGCTGACACAATCCTTTCTTCCAAATGAGGGCCTGAAGTACCACCGGATTCCTGATGTGACCGAATGACAAGATCTGACGTGCCTGCTCGGGCAGAAGTGACGCAGACAGCTCTGCTCGGCGAGGGCCGTCTGTGCGGCGCGATCTGGTTGCTTCCAAGTGAAGTGACCCAACAGGGGCCGCACCCGCTTTTCCAAGTGTGTCTGTGTATAAACATCCTGATGTTGTGCGGTGGCTTTCAAGGTGCTTCCAGGAGCTCGGGGCTGCCCTGGGGCCTCTCGTCTGCAGCAGCCCTGAGTCCCTCAGTCAGAGCACCTGTGCCCCCATCTGCTCATCTGGGGAGAGAGTGCTGATGCAACCTCTGGGAATTCGCTGGTATTTGGCGGAAGCAGCACCAGGTTAGCGCAGGATCGGGGCCAACGCTGGGCTGATGAAGGTAGGACTGGGGGTCCTCGGAGAGGACAGGGGCTGAGCACACCCCGAAGGGAGACAGGCTGGTCGGCACAGCCAGGAAGAAGCAGATGCTGCAGCCCGGCTGAGAAGTGGAGGCCCGCAGGGCAGAGCAGAGTCGCTGAAGGTCCAAGGCTACGACCCTCTGTGTGTCTCTGTATCTTGAATTCAGAGAAAACCACACAGGATGAGGTATTAACACAAGCTGACTATAAACGAAGTCATAGTTTTTCTGATAATCATGAGGTAAGTCTCCAAATGATTCGGTTCTCCTCCTTTGGGGTGTTTGAAGTTGACTTTCCTACCCCCTGGGAGTTAGGGATGGCCACGTGACTTGTTTTGGTCACTGTAGTTGAGTAGAGGGGGATGTGTGTATTTAACGCCTGTGTGTGAACCCACTTTCCCTTCCCAGTTGTAGTGGTTGTAAGCCCACATTGAGGACCCCCCAGCCAAGTGCCCTGCGTGCCTGTGATGAGACCCCCAGCCCTGCCCCCGGTCCAGCCTGAACGTGAAGTCCTCCTGTGTAGGTGCTGAGACTCGAGCTGTTTGTTACGACAGCTTAACAGCCTCCCTGACTAATGCAGATGGTGCATCTGGTTCTGATGGACCCGACAAGGAGAACTGGATTTTCTAACTAATGTGTGTGACGCACGTTTGCAATAAATTGCATAAGGTACATTCTGTAGCTTCAATACACAAGGTGTTAGAAGACACATCCAGTGCAACTATGTAAACATATCCTACACAAATTTAAACGTCATCTTAAAAATGGAAGAGTGGGCACAGAGGTTTTCAAAAGTGTTAGTAGCATATGAACAAGGAAGTTGAAAGACCCTTGGGCAGTCCTGGTCTGGAGAATCAAGAACCAGGAGCACAGGCCCAAAGCTGTTTTGGGGGGAACTGTGCCCCCAAAGTCCCCACTCCCAGTGCCTCAGAGGGTGACCTTATTTGGAAACAGGGTCATTGCAGACATAGTTAAGATGAGGTCGTGCTGGAGTAGGTGGCCTGTGATCCAATGTGACAGGTGCCCTTAGACACCCAGAGTCTGGTTCTGAGGCCAAGACCCTTCTGCCTGGTCAGGTCCCTTACGTGTCCTGGGGAAGCTGGCCCGCGTATGACTAGACAACCATTTCTGTGTAACTCACATTCCCATAAAAAGGCAAAAAGACCTGCCCATGTTGACTCAGTACGTGCTCAGTCAAGGCGGGAGCCTTGGGTTCCCTTGGGAGTTCTTGGGCTCCACGGACGGTAACCCCACACAAGTCCGTTAGAGTTTAGGCAGGGAGCCTCTGGGGCTGATCGGCCTTCGCGTTGGATTAACAACAATACAAATGCGCAGGCTCCACGCGCAGTCAGCAGGACCCGTGAGGGGCCTGAAGCCCTGGTGGGTGGAGATAGCAGCCGGGGGCCAGAGGCAGGGGCTCCTTGGCAGGACCCGTGAGGCTGCCGTCATGCCTTAAGTGCTTCCCTTAGTCTTTATGCTTCTTATGCCCAGGACCCCGGGGCCCCAAGAAGCAAAGTCTGTTCCTAACATCACAGCCTGGTGAGCGGGGTCGGGACTCATCTTGACCCCCGAGTCCCCATGATAACACCAGGCCACACTGTCTCCCTCCCCGGAAGCAGTGGAGACTACCCGTTAACAGGAGAACGGAAGAGGGGCAGCCTGCGCCCGCCTCGGGGGACAGGGCCCCACGGGGGAAGGAACCGGGGAGCTGTTCCAGGCAGGAGGCGCTGCTGAGCCTGCACGTCCCGGCCGGGCCGAGGGGCCTCCGACAGCAGCCAGCTTTGTTCCCACCGTCCATCCTCAGCTGCGGGTGGTGCCCTCGGCCCAGGTCTGGTTTCAGCAGGTGCCGGGGCTGCGGGCACGGAAACAGAGGCGCATTCATCGTAACGCGCGGCCGCCCAGCGCCGCCCATGCAAGTGCAGCCAGGCCTCCCCGTCCGCTTGGGTGCGGTCCTGCCGGGCACAATGATTTATTCATGTCTCCACGAAGATGAGTATCATGTGGGCTCATTATATGATGGATTTCAGCTCCTCTGAATGATCGCGCTGCCGCGTGGGACTCGCCGGAGGCTCGGGCCCTGGGAACAGACACCTAACACCGAGGCTTCGTGGGAACCCTGTCCCCGGGGCGCCCGCCTGGGCGGCTGGGAGGTGCACCGGCGAGGCCCGGGCCTGGCTCTGAGCGTCCGGCTGCAGGGAGACCCGGTCTCGTGGGACTCCAGCGACAGAAGGCATCTCCCGCTTCTCTGGAGGCCCTGCTCTCGGCTCGGCCAGGCCTGCGTCTCCGCTGATGGACAGTGGGGAGGGCGCCGGGGGCAGGGGGAGAGGCAGGGCCACTGCTCTGAGGTGGCACGGCTGTGGCCCAGGAGGGTCTGCACAGGAGCTGGTCCCGAGGAGGGAAGGGGACCCTCAGGACGGGCAGTGTGAGGTGCCGGCGGGGGAAAGGCCCGAGTCAGGTGCTTGGGGTCGTGGAGCTCACGATGCGCTCAGCGGGGAAAGGGACCGGGAAACCGCGCCTCCGGAGCTTTTAAACAGTTAACAAACAGGACAGGAAGCATTTATCAAAACAAGATTCTCCAATGTGCCCAAGGACACTTGGTGAACAGAATGAGTCAGCCAAGGAGGCGGGGGCGGGGGGGGGGGGCGGCAGGATAACACTCCCGTGCTGTGGGGCGGCACGAAGAGATTTCTGCTCGGAAACCGGTGAGCCCGGCAGCCGCGCAGGGCGGGGACAGGCCCCCTTGGCAGGGGCGCGGTTCTGTCCCCTCCCCCCTTGTCTGCTTCACTCACACTGTGGGAACCGTGACCCCGCCCTGAGGGCTGCTGTGATGGTAAAGACCCCCAGGGCGGGGCCAGGTGCGCGTGGTGCCCCAGCAGTGGCGCTGTCATTGTCACGAGGGCAGGGCGCCAGGTGGAGGCCTGGCTGAGTCGTTCATGTGTGTTCCGTCCAGGAGAACCCCGTCCCCTGTCCCTGCAAACGGCCTCAGGGCTCCGTCAGCGCAGTGAGTGGGGGCCTGACAGCTGGTCCTCAAAAGCCATCAGGCCTGCAGACGTTCTAAGTGGCCCCAAATGTGCAGCAACCCTGGTGAATCTGTTTGTGGATTTTCCAACACGGAGAAGCTAAGAGTTCTTAAGCGTCTCTTGGGAGTCGCCCCAAGCACAGACCACCCTGAACATGAAAGAAACAGAGCGTAGAGTCAGCTTGCACGGGACTTAGATAATTTCACTCTCAAACGGAGTCTAAACGTCTTTGCTGGTTTGCCATCAAGCTCCCTGTGGGTTTTGAAAAATGTCGCCCGTAGGTGTCTGGTTTTATTCCCAGGTGCTAATTTATGTGTAAGGCTTACCTTCTTATCAAACTGGACAAATGACGTCCTCAGTGTTCTATAAATTCACAAATGGGAAATGTGATGGTAGAACACGATTCTACGATGCAGCCAGGTCGCTACATGAGAGTGTTGGGTGGGCACAGGGTCCTCAGAGGTGCTGCGTGGGCAGCGCAGGAGCCCAGTTCCCTGACACGAGGGGTCTGACGTGGGGTCAGATCCACTGGGGAGGCCTCCTCCAGCCCAGCCAGGCCCAGGACCGCTGGGAGGGGACGGAGCCAGAGAGACCCTCGCGCTTGGTGACGACGGGCAGGGATGCTCGGGCCGGGGGCGCCGGTGGTTACGTGTCGGGTCCAGGCTGTCTCTGCTTGCACGTCCCTGCTGCTCCTACCGCCACGCGCGTCAGCCGGGCTGGGAGTGCGGCGGGAGCGCGGGGCTCCCTCCTGGTTCCCCACAAGAGGACAGGAAGGTACCATCCGAACCAGCTTCGCTGCTGGCAGGGCTGGGACTCCTGAAACCAGGCCGAATCGATTTCCCGTCTACTTGGTGTACGTCTGTACCTCCGTCTTAGTCCAGCAAGAGGTAAGTTTACGATGGCTTTTGCGTAGATACAAAGGGAAAGGTCAGTGCAAGGAAAACGAGCCAAAGGGGAAAAGAGAAAAAAATTAAAAACCCGACAAAGGCAGAACTCCAGTAAATATACCAAGCTGCACGGGGAGGACCAAGGCCCTTGCTGGAAGCGGGTCACAGGCCTACTTCCAAGCTTTCTAGCAACTCCTACAGAGGGAGGCCAGATCAAATCCATCAGTAAAATAAAAACAGGCCACTTGCCTGGGAGAAATACTCATATTTTAGTCCTAAATCCAGAACTATGGCTCCTGAAGGTTCTTATAAAGGCGGTCATGAGCGACGTCCTCCACATCGTTACTGTAAATACACAGCTCATGGCTGTGTCATGAGAAAGACACGGACACCCACAGGGACATTCAGGAAAATCACCCGTCCCGAAGCGCCGACGTGACGTGGCTCAGGTAGGAGGTCAGTCCAAGGCCACAGCGAAGAGCTCTCCCCCATGGACAGTAAGGGCGGTGGGCCGGGAGGGGCTCTGCTGCAGCTGGACGTGGCTGTCATGGGTCTGTGGGCCGTGGTAGGGGCGAGGGTGCTAAGCCCGTTCTGAAGGTTGAGGAGTCGATCGGAACACGAGCTCAGATTTACCTCCACCCACGTGGTCCACAGGTAGGACCCTCTTACGTGGCTGCGTCCTGCCCCAGAACTCAGTGGAGGGCCGCTTGTTTCCTGAAGACGAGCTTGGCCCGGGAACATCTCCCAGCAAGAGTGATTCGACCTTCACCTTGGCCATGAGACACACAGTGAGGCACAGCGGGGCCGGGGGATCTATGTTCTCCAAGTCGAGCGCATGACACAACAGAAGCCCAGGGAACTGTGAACGCCAACGAACTGCTGGGGAGGGGGGCGTGCGACAGCCACAAGCTCAGACTCGGCTTTGGGGGCGGAGGGTGGTGCCCCTTCTGGCAGCGGTGAGGCCGCGGGGCTGCTGTCAGGTGGACCCGAGCCCTGGACACCTGGGCAGGGCCACATGCTCTCACCCACACGTTCGCCTTTCTATCGCAGGGGCCCATCTCAACCCCAGCAATGTACCCAGTCATTGGAGGGGAACTGAAAAACTTTGCCCTTTTAAACATTTCCCTTGGAAACTATCATCTACAGAACGGCTGCCCTCTGACCCCAGCTCCAGAGTCGCGGTCACAGGCAGGCCCATACGAGGCCCCACAGCCCGTGTGCCCCCGTCCTGCAGGGGAAGACTCGGCCAGCAGCTGGAGAAACCCATTTCCCCGGTCTATGTGCTCGGTGGCCCTGGTGGCCCCAAACTAGCCCTACAAAGTCAGGAGGGTGTAAACCGGGACAGCTGTTTCTGTTTGTTTTCCTACTTAGAGTGGCCGTGATCTAGCCGCGTCCTCCTTCCTGCCTGTGCTCCGAAGGGTGGCTGCACAGAGCGTGGGGAGCAGGTGGAGAGGTGGCCCTGCAGAGAGGGGGGCCCCCTGGAAACAGGCCTGAGCCCTTCCTAACCCACGGTTCTGTCCTGACGGCAGGCTTGTCTATCAGAGTCGGGGCAGCAGGAGGACGGGGTATGTCTGCATGAGGGCAGCTAACCCCGGGCCTCTCTCCACTTCCCCAGAGTGAGTCATAGAAAGTGGATCCTGAAAAGGGGCTGAGAAATCCTCTTTCAATCCCACAGGGGCCCCCGTGGGATTGGGCCTCTAGACCCCTTTTTCCATGGAGGGTGCTCCCATCCCTTATATCGCCCCCCATCCCCGTCCTGGGGTACACTGCTGGGCTTCCTGCTGCCGTAAT